CATTCTCTCTCTCATGTTCACTGAGTATTAAAAAACATCCCAGCAGATTAGAAAAGCACTGAAGGAGGAATTCAGGGAAGCTCAACTCAGGACTTATTGCATTTGGGACAGCAAAGTTCAAATCTATACTCCCCCGAGCTATGACAAACTTTTAAAGTACATGTACTATATTATTTGCTGATTCTGACACCTCTTCCTCTTCTGCTTTACAGGTCTCAACCTTCCCTTTTTTTTTTCCCCAGACGAAAAAAAAAATAGGTGACTTTTAAGAAATAGTTCTGGGATGATGGAAAACATTCCATTGAGTTAATTTTTTACCAAAATATCTTCACACAAACCCACAGGAAACCTACAGTACTGCAACAGAGCTAAAACAAGGGCGAAACCTCAGAGACGCACAAGTTACCTGTTTAAGCTGAATTTCTGAGTTAACGTGGACGTCACAGATTTCACAATGAAATGTCTTGTTCTGCAGTCCTGAGCCTTTACTGCCATTCTGAACCTTCAGCCGGGATCCAGGTCTGGGATAAGACTTAATGGGACCAGCACCATTTCGAGCCTCAACCATTGTCTTGTGCTTGGAGCCTGATGGACAAGCAAATGCAGATTAGTTAATAAACAGCAACATGAAACTGTGGTCATTAGTCTTGGGACTTCTTGTAAGGTGTTCCTCTTCAAGATAGAAGTGTTAAAAATCACCAGAAAACCTAGATTAATACACCAATAAATCTAGATTAATGATGACTCTGCTTTTGCTCAGCGCAGATCCAGCATCCCTGGACCCAAAGGGAAACCAAACAGTGGAACAAAGGTTTTTACAAAAAGAGTCAATAAAAGCACCCAGGACACTGTCTCCCTGTCTAAGCACAGTTTCTGGCTGTATGGCCCACATATTATAATATTCTTCTGCCAAAACCCATGTAGCTGATGGATCACATCAGGAAATGGGCATTATCCAAGCAGGAAAAAGCAACCACTGCAGTCGCTCAGCCCTCCTGCACAGCCTACGGCCCCTTCACTGGGGGACATGTGGAGGAAAAATCCTCTAGATTCATCATGGTAAGAATAGTTTTAGGCAGAAGTCACCAGGGCTTTTTTATCTCCAGTACAGATAAGGGAAAATAAATGTATATTAAACTTCCAACACTTAATGGTGCCTGTGGGAACCATTACATATCTGTCATATGTACATATTACATGAGCTGTACATATCACTAGATGCAAACAGAAGTGATGATGATGGAGTCCTTCAGCATCTTTAATTGGAAGGAATGTCTGCTTTGGCCATCTGAAGAATTGGCTACACCTGTAAAACCATCTTCTCTTTGTTAACTGGCTTTCCATCACCAGCACATCATAGAGCAGGGAAGAGACATTAGGAATTGCTGTTTGGGATCTTTTAAAGGAATTATGTGTGGAATGAGGGAAGAAAATATCAAAGATTCCAAGACAGCTAGAAAATGTAAAGAGCCTGCCTTAAAAGAAATGAGAACTGAAAGAGATACAGAACTGTCATTTGAACTTTGGTTTTACAGAACTTTGGTTTTATGGAAGCTGCTACGGAGGCATGATGGTATATGATTAGGTGATTAGGTATATGATTTTGTCAGTTAAAATCTTACAGAAGTACATGATGTTTCAAAAATCATTAGAGAATTTCAATAAAACATCAAATACTATTACCATTAACAGGAACATTTCTGTAACTTGACAACGTCAGCTTTCATTAAAAGACTCCCTTCAGTGAAGTGTGGCTACAACAGTGTCAGAAAATCAGCTTATTACACTCATTTTTCCTAAAACGACTCACAGCTCCCACTTGTGCAGTATACATACTTACCCGTATTGTGGGCTTCTAGTTGTGACAAGGAATTCACAGCCACTTTGCATAATGAACAATAAAGGAGTTTTTTGGCTTTTTCCTCTTCCGACTCGGAAGCTGTGGCAGGAGCTCCGTTTGTGCTCTTGGAGGATGGGGTAGAGGCTGCAGGTGCCATCGCTGCCCCTCCGGGCTTGGGAAGAAAAGGACCCACTTCTGTGCTGGGAGGCTGACTCACACTATTGGATTTTGCTTTCCCTTTATCTTCTAAAAGTAGAAAAATATGTATGTGATCATATGCTGCACACAACAAATCATAAAGAGATCTGTGGTTCTTGTGGCTTTAGTTAACTTAGCACAATAGGATCGTAATTCAGCTGTTTTATGCAGGACAGCAATATCCATGAAACTTGCTAAAACTCTACCATGAAATGCATGTAATCTGGGGGAAGGGGTGACCCCAGGATAGCAGTGAGTACCAAAGACTCTTCCCTTGACAGATTCACAACAGCTGCTGGACAGCCCGAAAGGAGCCCAAAAGAGCCCTCAAAGAAGCTGAGGAAACTGAGGTGAAAGGCTGGAAAGCCCTTGAACGTGCAAGGCTCTGTCCTACCAATTGTAAAAATACTTTGGAAAAAGCAATATATTTGCCTTTGGAATGGTACAAAATTCACCAAGCCACTCACATGACACTGGAAGACTTGATATATCATTTCCCTCATTTCAATTATAGAAGTTGAATATAGTGCTACACCATCCACATGAACACAGCTGCTAATATTTTTAGATTTTTTCAAAGAATAATTCTGCACACATTCACAGACCTGATGGCTCTGATGCACCTTCAGTGCATTCCTTTATCACTTCACAACCATTAATCAATAATCTGGACTCCTTCGGGACAGGCAGGCAGGTATTACTTTATTTTACAGACGGGGATCGCAAGGCAGTGAGATTAAATGTCCTAACTGATTCTTAGAAGGGACTTTGGGCCAGCGCCAGTATTCCACTGCATAATGATCTTGCTCCTTGGCAATGTGTTGCCTACAGGAGTTCACTGCATTTTAAGCTATTCAGTTGCAGGCCTTGTGGCCACGAGCCATCCTAATCATCAGCAACAGAATTTCAATTCTATTGATTAGATAACACTGACACCTGAGAGTTTGCATTTTTTAAGGTTCTTCTGTAAGTGGAAAAGGACTAGATAACTAATTTTCATAGATACCAACCAATATTAGCCTTGACATTTTCTTTCTTAGATTAACAAAATACCAAAGGCCAGCTCTGCACTTAGGATTAATCACAGTTGGATCACTTGCAGCACAAGCACAAAGCAAGCATGACATATGCACAAAGTATAGAGAGAGGAGTGTGTGTGATGATGGAGACAAGCATGTCCTTAAAGTTCATGCTTAGGTCTTATTTTCTCAGAAAAGATAGAAATTCAAATAGCTCTAACATTGTGTATTTTTTTTCCTTCTCATTGCTTATACTTTATACCTCAAGATATCTCACTTTGCTTTGCCATTAAGTGCCTAGGGACCGAGGTCCTGAGCAAAGCAGTGAGATCCATTTTACGTAGGACATTACGCAGTGGCAGTTTTCCACTGCTGGATTTAACAGATGACAGAGAAATGGCAAACCTCATTTCCCACTTCCACTCGCTTTGCCAGCTGCTATTAAGGGGGATTTAATTCCATGCCTCAAATGCCAGCTGATGTAGTACTTCAATATTCAAAATATTCCCCAGATTTACAGTGTTTTCACTATTCATAATACTGAGATATTGTACAGTATGTAAATGTGCAACAACCTGGCAAGAAAATATCTAGAAAATCAGGCAGAAGTCAGTAGCACACAGTTGGGCAAAATTCTGTCAGTTCCTGAGCTCTTGGGAAGGACCTCAGGTCACATCCTCGCTCCCTCCTTCAGAAAGCTTCCCGACACCAGCAAACACTCAACCGTGTCGATGATATATGCATATATAGAAAGACATTTGCGCCTCTATGAATTAATATTTCTTTCCACGACTCTAAATGCTTAATGAGAACATCTTTGCAAATCCTAATTGTAACATTGTTATACAGCTTAATTCCCCCAGAAAGTCCACGGAGCTAAGTGCCTACTTAGCACTCCAGTGAGGCCAGAATTGTGTTTTTTTGGCTTTAAAAATCAGAAAGCTACAGATCTCTAAGTGGGTTTTAAATAACATCTTACTGCTTTCAAGCTATAGAGTTCAAAACGCCACTACTTACTTTTGTTAGGTTTGAGATAGAAAAGTCTACCAAATACTCAACTGTGTGAAACACAAAAAAACACAGATGCTATGTATATATGAAGCATGAAAAAGATTACTTTTTTGGGGATATTTATAGCACAGAGTTAAGAAATAATACCTCCAGGCAGAAACAAGAAACGTAGCTGCCTAAGCCTGAACACACCTATACAATGGCAATCACCCTGTAAAACACGAGTGGATGCTCAGATGGGGCTGTAGGGCACCTGCTGGTTCTGAAGGCAAGAGCTGAGGATAGGGGAGAGGAGAATAGGCCCAAATTTGCACTCACCTACTCCTTGCCCAAGCGCACCAGACTCGTCCCATCCACACAAGACTAAGGAGCCCCCGAGTGCCGGGTCCCTCGACTGCCCAGCTGTTTAAATTAAGTTTCCCTTTTCCTCAAGACTACAGAGAAGTAAATCACTGGTTCTTACTGAAGCCTGAATTTATTTTGAAGTAGAGCCCAGGGAAAAAATAAAGCAAGTTAATTAAGTCCTGCTCTGGGCGCTGCAATAGCGAGTGCTGCTGCCTCCTGCCTCCATTGTTTCAGCTGCTTTGAAGTTGTTTTTATGCATTCAGGGCTGTTTAGCTCCAGTCTGTGTCAGCACCACACCAGAATTCAAGACTTCTTCCTAAAAATCTAATTAGCACTGCCACAACTTAGGTTTGTGCTTCACACAGAGCCAAAACACACAGTAGGATAAAATCTAACATGCTCAACCTTTCTAGTTACTTCCCAAAGCTTAAGATCACTTTAAAATTATTTATTATGTGCAGATAAGGCCGCTTTTCCTACAATAGCCACCACCCAATTTAGAGGGAAATCCCAACCCAGCTAAGGGAACGGGTTTTGCTCTTAACTTAAAGCTGCAAAAATGATACCATACATGACCTTCCCCAGGACAGTGGGGATCACTTGCAGCACAAGCACAAAGATATTCAGTTATATTCCTTCTCGGTTCTTGGTGAAGAACTGCAGGCAAATACCTTGTCCCCCATGCACAGGCCAGGGCTCGGGGAGACTGTGCAGAGGGACTCTCTGGGGTGCAGAATGTAAAAAAGAGCTTTTCTTTCTCCTTGCCATTCCATTAAGCAGTTTGATTTTCAAAGTACTTTTCAAGGAATTCACTTGTTTTGCTTTGTGATTTCTGCAAGGTGTTTACAATATATCCTCATACATATATTTATGCGCATCAGAAATTTATATTCTAAAATGTTCTCTTATGGCACTCAAATGTGCTATAGGTATTGCTTTCTAGACTTAGGAAAACACTTTTTTTTTTTTTTTTCCCCCTCTGTTCTTGGCTATGAGTGATGACTTTGATATGTTTTAGGCAAAGGAGTAAGGCAAAAGGCAATTTGGACTTCATGACCAAAATATACGTGCTATTTTCAGTAGAAAGGCAACCTCAAAATTCAGATTTCTAAAAAATAGGGATAGCCATCACAAGCAAAATGTTAAAAAAAAAAAAAAAGCATAAATAAATTAGAAATTAAAATGGTAAGAAATCCTCTGTACCTGCAAAACAAAAGTCTACAATAAATTTTCTGTTTCCCAGCAGCCTGTTCAATTACCAATTGATATAAAATTAAAGACTTATCCAAGGCAAAGATGATGCACAAGACAATACACTAATACAAGCCTCTTCTGTCATATCTGTGTCATCAGCTTTTGGATGCAAAGTTCTACTACAGTCATAAGAAAAATAACTGCATGCAACATACATCTCTTGCAGACGCTTAAAGATTATAAAATTTTTTAGAGGATCTAAAGCAGACATGCAATATTTCATTTCAAAAAATTAATTTATTCCAGCATATCAGGAATATTTCACAGATAGGAGACAATTACCCCAAGGGCTGCAGGGGCATCTGTGCCCCATGGGGAAGGGCCAAGTCCTGCTTATGACTCCTGCTGCCGAGCTCCGGCTTCATCCCACCCCTTATGTCCCTACGCTCAGGCCACGTAGCGCAGAAGCAGACTTCAAAATTGCAAATCACCCTCCACTGCTCTAGGCAACCCCTCACCAAGGCTCTTCAGAGGCTCATTTGATAGTTCCCTGTCCTAGAAATGGAGGCTTATTTTTAGCATTTGTCTACCTGCCTGCATAACAAAACATACTGCCTGCTGCTAAAAGAGCGTAACGGAAAAACTATTTTCAGAAGTTTGGATATTCATGATTCTACTTTGGGAAAAACAGTGACTACTTGGGCCTTCCTCCTCTTATTGCAAAAAACAGAGGGAAAGGGCCATGTGAATTGCAATGCAATTTCCTTCGTGTGAGGAGACAAGAAAATGAACAGAATAATTTAACGTGTAACTCGATCAGCGAACGGTTATCTGTGCTCTGCTACCACATAGCAAACTGACGCATGGCCAGGTGCTAAGGCTTTTGCATTACCAGCCGTGGTTGTGGTGGCACATTACAAAATCCACGTTACGGCTGAAGCAATGACTTTCTAAAACGGGCACACCTTGATGACTCTGAAAAACTTAAATGAATTTCTGAATATGCCATTTCCTGCAATAACTAAAACCCAGCTGATTTCCAAAAAGGGTTTCCATTTTATTTAGAGGGTTTCATAGCACTGATACTTAACAGCTTTATGCCATTTCTGGAAATGTAAGGCAAAGATTGTATCATGACACCCTTGAATTCACACAAGCTGTGCCACAGAACACTGGTATTAGTTTCAAGTGCTGATTTTGGACACTAATGGAGACTTTGCGGTGAAGCATGCAAAAGCAGCAAAGCTGTTCCGAGCAAAACCGATTTTAAAGTTCTCCCTACAATTTCCAACAGCTCCAGCTAGGACTACTAATATGGGGCTGTATTCAGCAACAGCAACATGGAAGGAGAAAGGAAATAAATCACAGGGTCAATAAATCACATTATTTGAGTGATCAACCGCATAGCAAAGAAAACCAGGCACATTAACTACAACTACATGCAAGAAGGAGGTGACTACCAGAAGGCAAGAAGGGCTC